TTGTAAGCAAGGACGACAACATATGACATTGATTATTATTAACATTTATTGTTTATCTTCCCTTAATAAACATATTGTCTATGAAAATGTGTTGTAGTGTGTTAAACTAAAGTTGGTTTTACATTCAAACTATTATTCTTCTGGAATAATAACTGGTGAGGATGATTTTGATTCATGGCCAGTTGTAGAACCTAGGGGCATTCCAAACTGTGGTGATAGGTAATTTTCTTGATTATTAATTATTCCTAGTTTAGCCGTATTCCTTACCTTTTTTTAATAAAAAATGATTATCGTTTTTGTTGGTTATAGTATTAACTCTGCAACTTGGATTCTTCAGTGGATATCCATGGGTTATGACTTTCAGACCAATCTCTTAGGAGTGGTAAGAATACACACACACACACAATATTTTCGTCCAAATACTACTCTCATATTTCTCAAGGTCAATAACATCAGTTTTGTATAGGTGAACTACAACAAAGTAAAGATGAGGACAATATTATCACTGTTATTAGATTCTTTCAATTAGATACAAGCTTGGTTGGAAAGAAAGTGGAACCTATGATTATGTCAATCGTGTCACACTTAATAAATCATTCCATAGCTCTATTCTAGTTTGGGTTGCGTAACATCCACATCGTTTTAGTTATCGTTTATGTAATGTAATCTGAACAGTTAAATTTCTGGTGATGTTTATATATAACCAAGTTCTACTAATATTACATAATTTACGCCATACTTTATTCCAATATAATAGACTCACTCGCGTCAACATATGTTTGTACATATGAGTGTCATCAATCAATACAATTATTAAACAAATCCAAACTCGTAAGTACCTAAATATAACAATGAAACTGTAATGGTTATTTCATAAGTGATTTTCAATCCTTTTCTTCAAATTTGATTCCACCCTGTATATATATATTCATAACCATTTTCAATTACACAGTACAACAATCATATATTTGTCACACATATGTATATCCCTGTCCATCGAACACCACCATATGTACAACACGTGAATCGTATATGGCATATGCACAAAATAGTACCTACATAGAGTAAAAATAAAAATTTTATCTTTCCATAACTGAAAATCATGATACTGCATTCAGTGCCAAGCATTTCAACATCTCAGTCAAGGCATTAGCTAAAATTTGTCAAACAAGTTACTTATGTGTTATGGTGCTTAACTACTATAATGTCAATTTTATAAATAACATGTCTGCCATATTACACCCACTATGTCATAAATTTCCATATTACAAAAGCTCATATTGACTTATTATAAACAACAAATAAACACCACCACTACTAATTAGAACATAACATGTTAACAGTCACACAATAATACACTTTGATTTGATCAACTTTCTTCTACTTCAACAAGACTGTTGTTCTTGTATCATGTTTGGACAATGAAAAGCCTCTTGCTAAACATTTATAACAAAATACATATATTATTATTACTATTCTTCCCCATTGTATTCACGTGAAGTAATTGAAAACAATAACCATATTTCATAAAATATTATTACTATTCTTTCCCATTGTATTGTTCATACCAGAGTTACTATTCATGCCAAAATTATTGTTCACTCTTTTTTTTTAAGAAAAAAAACACCATCTAAATCTATTTCAATACCAAATAATCTTTCAATTAACATTTAAGAAGTACAAAATATTACAGATTACTCAATAATAAATTTAGGCCCGACATAGGACATTAGTTCTTTCAAGCTTTGGTGATCGATCAATATGATAAAGGAATGATCCGGTAAGTATTGGCGCCAACGCTTCACAGAGGTAGTGATGGCATAAAGCTCACAAATCTAGGTTGAAGAGTCCAGTAGTTTAAAGCAAAATTGCTTACTAAAATAAGCAATTGGATGTTTGTTTTGCATCAGAACAACTCCCATTCCAGTACTTAAGGCATCAGTTTCAATGACAAAAAGGACATTAGAATCAAGTAAGGCCAAAACAGGGGCATGAGTCATAGCGTATTTAAGGTTCTCAAAGGTAGACTGAGCTGCAGGGGACCATTTAAAACAATCTTTTTGAAACAAAGCAGCTAAAGGAGAGGCAAGCTTGGTGTAGTCTCGGATGAAATGCCAATAAAAGCCAGTAAGGCCCAAAAAGCCCTGTAAGGATTCAAGGGAGGTTGGAATAGCCCATGCTTGCATGGCTTGTATTTTGGAAGGCTCTGGTTCAACTCCATCATAGGACACAATGTGACCCAGATATTCGATGCGACATTGAGCAAAAACACATTTGGAGAGCTTAAGGGAAAATTGGCCTTGCTGTAGGGTGCAAAGGACTATCTCCAAGTGTCCCAAGTGTTCATCAAAGTCGTGACTACAAACCAAAATGTCATAAAAAAACACAAGTATGAACTTACGAAGAAAAGGTTGAAAGAGGTCATTCATGGTGGCTTGAAAGGTAGATGGTGCATTACAAAGGCTGAAAGGCATGATGCGATATTCGTAGTGACCTTAGTGAGTTTGAAAAGCGATTTTAGAGATGTCGTCGAGGCACATACGAATTTGATGAAATCCTTGAGTGAGGTGCAATTTGGAGAACCAGTTTGCATGTCCCAAACTGTCTAGAAGCTCATTGATGGTTGGTAGGGGAAAATGATCCTTGACTATGATCGCATTCAAGGCACAAAAATCCATGCAAATTTTCCATAAGCCATCCTTCTTCTTCACTAATAAGACTGGAGAAGAAAATGGGCTTCTGTTTGGCCGAATCAAACCGGTGTGAAGCATCTCATCAACCCGCCGCTCAATCTCTTGCTTTTGAAAATAAGGATAGCAATAAGGTTTGACGTTTACAGGTTTGGCATCTAGGAGCAAGTGAATGGAATGGTCAGTGGGTTGTGAAGGGAGAAGAACATTTGATATCTGAAAGAGCGGTGAGTATAAATCAAGTAGTTGGTGGAGGGTTGGTGGTAAGCGAGGAGGTGTGGTAGCTGGAGAGGAAAAGGAATAGGGGTTAGCCCTCATCTAGAGGTGAAAGTAAGCAAAGGCACAATTTGTGTGAATGAGGCGTTTGACTTAGTTGTGTAATTTCTGTTGGGCTTGACCCAGTTTAGCCTTGAAGCTCCACTAACTGATTACCCAATGAAATTTCATAGTGAGGAGAGAGTAGTCTGTCATGATTGGGCCAAGATTTTTTAACCATTCCACACCAAAAACAAGATTCGCACCACTAATGGCCATAACGTAGAGGTCCACCTTAAAAATGTGACCCTAAATAATAACAGGAACATCCTTGCACACCTAATTGTACAAAAGTTCACTACCATTTCCTACCATGACACTCAATTGTTTAGTGGGTTGGGCCTAAGATTAAGAAAACATATCATCTTATCCTGGACGAAATTGTAGGTACTGCCCCCATCAATGAGGACAACCACTTCCTGGCCATGAACAAAGCCTGTAACACACAAGGTCTCAGGGGAGAGATGACCTGAAAGGGCAATAAAGCTAATTTGGGGCAGAAGAAGAGTCACTAGAATTATCGATATCGGGCAACAAAGTATCTTCCGATAATGGCGGATGGATCGCAAAGTCCATATCATCATCGTCATGAGCAGTAAGGAGGAAGAATTTGGATTTACATTTGTGGTTCAGACCAAAACATTCATCACAAATGTAGCAAAGTCCCTTCTCGCACCAAAGTGCCATCTCAACTTGGGTGAGCCTCTAAAAAGTGGTTTTTGGTAGAGTGGGTAGGAGTGAAGGCTGTTGTGATGGGGGAATGGAGGTGAAAGGAGAGGCTACAAGTGGTGCTGAGTTAAATTAAGGGCAAGAAAGATGTTTTGCATCAGTGAGTTTATCCTCTTGCAACTGGGCAAGCACGGCAACCTGAACGAGACTCAGAGGTTGAAGAGCTTGAACTTCCCATCGTATATCAGGGGTTAAGCCCAAAATAAATCAACTAAGAAGGAAGGGTGAGGGAAGGCCGATGATGCGATTGGCAAGGCTTTCAAACTCGAAGAGATAGTTGTTGAAGGTACCACACTGCATTGATTTAAATAAAGCACCTTAGGGTCGTCATAGTATAGTAAGAAGGGGCAAATTGCATTTCTAACGATTGAAGGAAATCGGACCAAAAAGAAATCTAGCCGTTGCAGTACATCCATTGATACCCACTAAGTGCTGGACCGTCGAGGTAGAAGGATGCCACTTGAATGCGTTCATCCTCCAGGGTACCATGATAATTGAAAAATTAGCAAATCTTGAACATCCAACCTATAGCATTAGTACCATCAAAACGTGAAATGTCCAATTTCAGTACCATTGATGGTGAACATCATCAGACGGTGAAGGAAAGTGGAAAAGCTCAAGAGAAGTGAGGCGGATGATAATGTCATCAATTTTGAAATGGAAAGAGCTCTAGGTAGTGGACAAGGTGGTTTGTAATTGAGTAAGGAGGGTAACAGCTTCCTCAAGACAGTTTTAGAGTTTGGAAACAAGTGTTATCAGCCATGAGAAGGAGGTAATGAAAGCACCAAAGATGATAGGGGAATGGAATAGGAATAATAGTTTCCTGAGTTCAAAGCCAGGAAAATACGTCCAGAAAGAAAGAGAGAAGTTAATTTTTTTTTTAAATTAGCTAGTTGCATGAACAAACAAAATTAGAATATCAGATATTAGATGACAAACAGAATAAAAGAGCAACTAAATAAATGACAACTCAGCATTCTCCCAACAACCATGAAACAAAAATGTGACTAACAACTGACATTTCAATGAATAAAATCATTTCAGCCTTGGGAACGTTTAATAGTTCTCTTGGCCTGAGATTCATATCCTCCACCGAGCCGTGGGTGCTACCATGAATTGCTGTAATAACTTAGGAAAATCCTTGAATGCAAGTTCCATGAATTACGACGAGAGCCAAAAAGAAAAGCTACATGAATTATGTATATTAAAGATTCCATTCCTAATCTTCCTTTTCGAATAAAATTAAAATACAACAATACGTGATCCAGTCTAAATAAAACAGATAAATAGTATATTAGAAACTACATAATAAATATTCAAGTTAATATACTTAATCTGCATATTAAACAACTCCTAAAAGTTTGTTCATGTGTAATTAGACTAGCATCAACGCTAACTATTTGTTGTGAGATTAAATAAATACAGTAACGAAAAATATAAATGTACAATTAGATGGGGGAGGGGGGAATAGCATATACAGAGGGGATAACTGGACCCAAAAATGGGAAAAAAGAATATCATCAAAATCTGAAGGCAACCCATCTCCTGTAAATGGAAATTTACACATTTGTAAACTCAGGTCTTGCTTCCCTGGAAGGAGGATGACAGCATCCTGAAGAGCCCATCTGGATTATCGGCATGTACCTGTTGATGGACAAAGCAAATCCTCTTTTAAATGGTGTCACGAGCAAGCTTCGCAGAACATGATCATCTCCATTCCATTTTTAATAGGTAACCACATAAAATGATTTCTGAACTTAAGTTTAGTTTAGATAAACTTTTAATAAATACTTAGTATAAAATAAAATAAATCAAATTTTAATATGATTTTAAATTGACTTATGGTCGTTAACTTTTTTTAAAACCTTTCCATTTAACTTCCCAAAATGTGGATATGTACCAATTTTAACTTATGAGATTGGTTTAATTTATTTTATCTTATTATTTATTTCTCTTATAAGTGTTGAGAAATTTATCCAAAATAATAAATTTACAGAAATCAAGCCTTTATGTTTGTATCCACATAAAAACTAGACACAACAGAGTGTTGAACAATGAAAGGATCTAACCACCACTAAAATCACCAAACATCTCCCAAGTCAAAACAACTCTGGCAAATTTCTCCCATTGCTAACAATGCATGGTATGTTTTATACAAATTCCTCTCCCACTTTTAAACTGTAAGCAAACGCTACACAATATCGTCATCATGCCAGTTTCCCATATACATGTCCTTTTCGTTAGAGAAATAATATTTGGATCAACAAAATATATGTATCATAAACCAAACTCTGGCCTTAATCTTTGATTGGGAGAGGTAGGAGAAACAAAGATCTGCAGAGATATACAAATCTAAGCTATCTACTTTGTCATTGTCTTGTGCTATTACTATATTTGCCTAAATTTTTATTAGCCTCCAAATGCAAATCAGAATTCTTGCAAAATAATAACCAAAGTTATAGAGAAAGGGAACCAACAAATTGATTAACGTTTCAAGGATAAAATCTCTTGATGACAGTCTGTTTCAATCTCCTTCAGTCCGTAGACTTTTTGAGACACTAAGGGCTTCATGAATTTGAATTGACATTTAGAATTACGGATTGAAATTGGTTCAGAATTATAATTCTACATTTGACATACTCAAAAAATTAGAATTATAAATTAAAATCAAATTCAATTTTGCATTAAAATTTTATTTATTAACTTTTTTAAAAATAATGTTAATTAAAAATACAAAATAATTATTAAATAAATTGTTAAAGATAATAACTTAATATTTCTTTTTTAAAAATCATGACACAATAAATTTATTTTTTATGTTTAATTTATCATTAAAATTTAATATTATGTTATGAAATATCTTTTTCACAAATTAGATCAAAGCATACAAATGTTGATAAATATAATTTAATTTTCAAAATTAAAAATATAAATTAAATATAAATATTTTCGAGAACTCTCATTTTGACACATAAGTTAAAATAAGTAAAAATATTACAACACATTCTTTTACGCTTCATGTAGTCCTCCTCTTTCACGTAAAATGTTGCAAAGTTCATAAAAAACTTGTTTAGTAAGATGTAATTGATTATAACAATTTTCATCAGTCTCGTAATATAATTACCTCAAAAGTATACTGATTATAACAATTTTCATCAATCTTATGATATAATCACCTTATAAGTATACTTTTTACTATGTCTTTATCACTCTATTGCATCTAATACTAATTTTCTCTTTTTTGTTACTCTTGTACTTTCAATAGTTCTTGAATTAATTTCTAATATTTCCTCCAACATCTAAAAATTCAAGAAAAGTATTAAACAATTTATTATACAATTAAGATAAACAATATAGTTTATTTAGGCAAGTGTAAAAAAAGGAGAATTCTCACAGCAATCCGACAGAGTAATGAAAACGTATTAAACATGTAAAGAATGTAAGAAAAGAGAAAGAAAAAAGATGACGTAAAGAAGAATAAGAATAACAAGAGAAAGAGGAATAGAGAAAAACTACTTTTATTAATAATGTAAAATAAGGAAGAAGAAAATAGAGAAATACAAGAGAACATAGAAAAAGAAAAAAGTGATATTAATAATCAAGGTAGAAGTAGAATTAAAAAGAAAAGAAAATACAGAAAAAACAAGAGAACAGAAGAAGAGGAAGAAAGATATAAAGGGGAAAGAGAGAACAAAAGAAGAGAGAGAGGAAGAAAGTACTTAAAGAAAAAAGTATCTAGAAAAGAACAATAACCACGAAGATAAGGAATCATAGAGACGAGGAAGAGGCACAATATGTGAGAGTGTATTTATGAATTATGATATTAGAAATTCAAATTCCTAGGGTGCAAGTTAGGAATTGAAGTGGGTTAAATTTAGTTGTCATAGAATTCTATGAAATTGGTTCATGGAATTATAATCCCAATTCCAAATGGACATCTAAACATGATAATTAAAATTCTAAAACTCAATTCTAATCCCAATGTCCAATTCCATATTCAATTTCGTACACCAAACGAGCACTAAAGGAAGATTTCTAACCTATTCCCCAACTTCCCCTACACTTTTAACGGCTTTGGCCTCCTAACGTTTCCTCCCCTGGCAGCTTGCTTTTTTGGGCATTTAATGCTTTCTTGTCATTATCTCCAAATGGCGAGCAACACATCACTCTCATTATATAGGTTCGCTTTGCTATTGGTTCTTTTTGTCCGGTCAATACAGGGCTTCCACTACACACCATGCCATAAAAAGAAAAAAAATGCAACTAGGGCATAACTCATACAGAGACGCTATCTAGCTTATTCGAGAAGTGGTCCCAATTCCAACACGTGAGATGATGAATATTAATTTTAGTTTTCATTGTTTTTTTTTTTTTTTGGCTATTTCAATCAACTGAAAATACATGACCACTAAGAATGCTCTCTTCTCTTTAAAGTTACTTTCATCACCTATTTGCCATATTAGCACTTAGCATTAATTATAAAATAAATAAATAAAACAGCCAACTTCAACTACTCCCTAAATTCGACAATGCTCTATGGTACTCACTATTTTTAAGTATTTTAGAAGATATCGTGACCGTGAGCTGTATCATACAGACCACGTAACGTGAAAGTATGTGGGAGGAGACTGTAAATAGTAACCATATAATGTAACATACCCAGTGGCCAGCATCTTCAAGGACATGCATTTCAACTCCACCTCCTTCCTCAGCAGCAAGCTCCTCAGCAGCATGGATGCGTTGAAGATCTTCAAGAGCCCATCTATGTAAGCTTCTTTCGGCTTTCAAAAAGTTCATGTGCACACCACGAGGTACATCTTCAACAATTTTCCTAAGAATAGAAGCACAAAACATTATTGGTTCAACACACAATCTTCTGCATAGAAAAGTTGATTTCAAAATTCAATGTGATTGTATGCATAATTAATCCTGGGATTCCCGGTATCAGTAAATATAATAACCATGGGCTTGACACTAACATTCTAATCCTGATTCATATTCATGGTAGGATCCCATCTCTCAACCAGAGAAATAAGGCTGATAAAAATCAATATATAACAGCTCGCATGGTTATCAGAGATAATAGTAAGTACCACAAATTTGTTTCTTCATAGGATTGATACATTTCTGCAATCCCCTTTAGGTCAAACACCCATGAGAAGCTTGATGATTGTGAACCAGAAGAGTTGGTAGGTCGCAGGTTAGTCACAACCCACTACATGGAAACAAAAAAAAAAATGGAGGAACAAATGTTTAATTGCTTAATCAGCCATCTAATGAAAGGATCATACACATGACAATTCAGACAGAGAAACAAACTGAACTTGCCTACAGGAATAAAACCCAAATGTGCATATATGAATTTTTAATGATCATCATTTACCAATTATTCCTACAATTGAACAGATTTTTCTAACACAATTTACATCTACAGGCTACCTGTAGATTGTTAAAGTTCTTGGTATTTTGATGTGAGTTTACAAATATCTGCCATCACTCAATGTCAATTTTGACTTCTTGCTCTACTTGTTTATACTGCAGCTGGCTGCAGGATGCATGAATGCTAATTTTTTAAAAAACTTGTTATCATAATAGAATTTCAAACTTTATCCAATACATGTCTTGGCTATAGTTTTTCAAATTTTAGTCTCATACATTAGCACATCCTTACATCTAATACCATCCAAGCCATTTGAATCCAAAGTTTCCAAAGGAAAAAAATATTGGAATCCATCCTATACCTCTTGTTTCTTGCATCTCTCAACATCCATCTTATCTTTAAATGTTCGAATTAAACAAGCAATTTGGTTCTCAAAACATGAGTCAGTTAGATTTAGTCATTAGATTCACTAACTGACTAATTTAGCTCCACAATAATTTAAAGAATTTGATGCAAATGCCTTTAGGACATTATATGATTGTAAATGTTAAGACTTTAAATAGATAATACAAGAAAAAACTACAAGTTGCAAAAATGAGAATACTACGATGGATAAGTAGTCATTCAAAAAATATAGGATAAAAATAATCATATATAAAAGAATATTCATCTAGTGTACCAAAAATTTACTATTATAAAATTCTGACTGTATATTATTAGATTTTAAATTATTAAATATTATAGCAAAAGCAATATTATTATTCACGTTAATTGTCAATGTGTAATTTAAAAAAAAATTATAATTATCCATGAGAGAAGGAAAAATACATGGACATTGAACCAAGGAAAAATATACAGTATACAACTATCAATAAACATATAGTTTTCAACTTGGTAAAGAAAGCAAGAATACATGAATAACTTGAACACCTGTCAATATTAAAGTATGCCAAAGTTCTGTACCTGAGCTACATCATTGGAAAATCCTTGTTGAATAAGAGCTTTAACAACATCCTGCTTTGAAGGGACCTTTCTTGAGGAAAGGATCATGGAACAATGAAAAAAAAAGTTGCTCATAATATAGAACCAAAAAATGTAGAACCATTCTATCAATTTATTCAAGTAAAAACAGCTAAAGCGTATTAGAAAGATAAAGTCTTTATATTACTGAGATGACAAGTAAAAGAGGGTCAAGATAATGATAATAAATAAAAAAACTTGAGTGAGCATAGTAATTTGTAGCATGCACATAACAGATGCCAACTTTATTCCCATAATTCCTTCAATTTTTGTTCTTGTTCGCACTTCTATATCTCTTCCTAAACTCTCACATATCTTGATATTAATTACAATTTAAACTTTAATTCTCACAACAAAAATAGGAAACTGTCAATAATAATCAAAACAGGAATTTAGATCAAACCCAACAACCAAACTTCCTTGAACCAAAACAAGGCAACACATTAAATCACATTCACATCACCATTACATACATTTTCTCAAAAGACACATTAATTGAGAAAAAAAAATTAGACGAAACAATTAAAGATCTACCTCCTTTGGCAGGGTACTAAGAAAGGAAATGAGTTCTGCTGGGTGGTCTTCTCCACCTCCGCCTGATTGAACTTTTCCGGGTGTCGCATCCAGAATCCAAGCCTTCAAATAGCATAGAAAAAATTATGAAACAACTCAGAAGCACTCACATAAATACAAGCAAACAAGACAGAAACTATAGTTACAATTTGATAGGCTTTAAAAAAACTTGATTGAATTCCACTTAGAAAATACAAACACAACTTCGATAGATAAATTCCCCTACCAGCTGTAGAACCAAGGCTCTCCTCTGAGAAAATGGTTCTCAGCCTTAAAAAACCGGAAAACACAACACATCAGAAACTCTTCACACCATTCCTATAACTATTACATATAGCTACCCAATTACACAATTAAATAACTATTGCATAACTGTCCTGCAACCTCCATTATCCATTTTGTCAGCCTAAAAGTCTTGCTAAATCTTGCAGTGTGCACAGGATTTAAACACCATAAAAAAACAATCTAACCAACGTGTATTTTAACAAAGATCAAAACATTTTAAATCCTTTGTCCAACAAAAGCAAACAGTAACTGAATTTGGGCTTACTCTCACTGGTCGGGCAAGAGGCTTTGCAGCTTGGTCAACCATGCTTAAAACAACTGAGAAAATGGAACAACATAAGTAAAACTGGCTTATAAAGAGAGCTAGAAAAAAAAAAAAGTTCAATAACTAACCTTTCCCCCCAAAACTATGACCAACTAACACACGAGGTGTTATTCTTAGCTCCCGAACCTATCAAGAAGAACAGACATGATGTCATTACAAGAGAGGAATAAATTGACTGTATATATAACAACATGTATCTAACCAGTTCTCTTAAACAAAATCTATTATGTGCAGCAAGCAAATTTAATTTAATCAATCCAAAAAGGTTTTGGATCAATAGTAAAACATTTCATAAAAACAAAAAATAGGTTGATTTTAAAAAAATGAAAAAGGATTTTAATTCCAATAATTGGTATCATTTAGCATTTCAACATCAAAGGACAATCTCTGCAACAAAAAATTTAAGGGAACTGAAGTGGTAAAGCCAATAACTAATTGCAGAATACACCCAAACTAGACTAAGATTGTAAATTGAGGAAGGAACAGAGTGGGGTGAGAGTCCCCATGAGGACACTCAACTGGTTGAACATGAGTATTCCATCTTTTAGAAGCCAAGTTCAAATCCCATTAGAAGCACGCAGGGTGGAATTGATAAAGATCCCAGCCCCATTCTATACCATGCTCACCACATAAATATTATAATGATTTATGAACCATGTGAAAGAAAGCACACCAGTTTTAAAACATCAATAGCTGCAGATGCAACACTATGGGGACCTCTCCTCTTGATTGATGCTGAATCACCATGACATCGCAAGTCTACTAAAAGAAACTGCCAATGTAAACAAAATAAACAAACAATTCAGATTGATGCAAATCCAAAATGTTCTAGCATTGAACCCCTAAAAGCAGAATTTAACATACACAGAAAACAATTTTTTTACCTAATAGTAGAGTCTAATTTGACCCAAATTTATTACACAATCAATAAACAAGAAAGTGTTGCATCATCTAAGGTTTTCACTTTAAGTAAAATCTTTTAACAATTCTTTAAATTTGTGGTAGCACATGGTTCATTGATAGTTTAACCATTTCTACATTCTTAGTGGATCAAAATTAAATCCGTACACATAATATCTAGTATAATTATTAAATATTTATAAGGCAAGTAATACCGAACAAATCATAGCACAAAAATGTCAAGCATAATACCTGCCATGTAGTAAACTCTCGTGCCAATCTCCTAGCAAAAGTTCCTGCAGTATCAATCTTTCAGCAGCAAATTATGAAACTAACAACCCATCATTTCCCATTTATATTTGGCTTAGAACTAGACATACTTCCATGCAAATATAAAAATATCAGACACGGACACCCATGTAAACTACAACAAAGGAAGAAACACAAAAACACATTAAATATTTAGCAACATTTATAAGAAAGCCATCGGTAGGTGACTTGCTTATCACATTGATTAATATATTACAACTATTCCCTTAACAAAATCACAAGAGGAATCTAACAATGAACTCCCAGATCATATGAATACATATATGCTGATTGGTGTAGACTTCCACTTTCCACCCAACAAGGCTTCTTTTGAAACTGATGTATGAATAATGTGAGAATAAATTGAATTTAGGTTCATCATCGAAACTTCAAAGAAAAAATTGGTAAAAATGTTATTTCATTTTCACCTGAACAATAAAGCAAGGCTTTTAAAGCTTAAATGTTTAACCAAGACCAAGCCTACTCTAAAATTCTTAATGAGTTTTGTTAGCATGTATAAGAGAAGAGTAATTTGATGAGGTGGAAACTCTGGAATTCATTGTTGCACACATAGTAGTCAATCTCGGATAGTGGCCAATCTCAAAAACTCTATAGTAGGGATAGCAATAGCAGGATGACCGCTATACTGAAGTTTTACTACACAAATATACATGCTGAAAAATATATAATTAATATACAAATTTGAAACAAAACAAAAAAGGAAAACTCAAATCAGAGATTTAAAAAAATAACAAACAGCGAAGGGTGTAGGAGCAACCATTGCTTCTACTTGAAGCTTTGAAATTTGAAATAGAAGAGAGTAGGAAAATCAAAACAGAGAAGGAGATAAAAAAACAGAGAAAAAAATGTTCGATAATGTGCAAATTTGCCGAAGATGTAGAAGATGACCAGAAAATGTTTGGGTGAGGTTGGAAGCTTCGCTGAACTTGAAGAAGATGACCAGAGATAAAGAAGATGACTCAAAATAATCTGGGTCACATTAGAGACTTCGCCGGAGATGAAGAAGATGATCAGAGAATGTCTCTATCGCGTTAGTAGCCTCGCTAGAGATGAAGGCCACCAAAAGTAGTAAAAAGTGGAAACATAGAGAACCAAGATGAAATGAGAGGGAGAGCTAAAATATGAAATGAGAAGCTAGGGCTCGCAGAAGAGGGAAGGAGGGACGGAGAAGATTAGAAAAGGAGGAGGGGGGAATCCCAAGATTGCCCCCCTTAAAAGTCGCCCAATGTTAAAAAACAAGGGCAAGTTCAGAATTTCAGAGAGGATAGAATAGCAGCCGCGATTTCTGCCATTTTTGGCTGCTATTAGTGGTGTTTGAATCGTGACGCTATTGAGTTTCCGTAGCCTAGTCGCACAGCTCCACCGCGATAACGGCTGCTATGGCCGCCATTGACTACTATGGTTGCAAAATGATAATCATGCACATTATATGGAAACAATTCAGGCTACACATAAATTTTATATCACAGAAGGCTCATGAATAATAGGTACATGGTAGCACTCACCCCAGTTCTTCCTGCAACCTAGGATCCCATGCAGAAAAACAGCTGTTGGTGGATCAGGTATAGATCTATCCATGACAGAACTCCATCTCACCTGTATACCAAATTATCTGTGTATTAGTCTTTTGGAAAGAATTTGCTAGTGTCCTTTTTGCACCATTACATAAAAAGCATATTAATGAGACTCTTTAACTTCTTATGAAAATACATAAGGTTTGTAACAGTCCAATGTCATTTGACAAACTTTTATCCCAATACTCTCACAGTTTCAAATCTATTTTGTTAAGAAGCCTTTTGAAAGTGTTGGTAATGAAATAAATAATGGGGTTTGTATTTTTTTTCAACAACTTATTGTTGTATGTCAGTATTTAATATCATTAAACTATTGCAGGCAATAGCTTCATAGTCATAATGAAGGAAGATCTAAGAAAAGTGAGCCATCTCAAGGACCAGTACAGTGAATTAATAATTTTGGCTCCTTTTTTGAAAAGATACAATTTTTAGGTTCTTCAAAAATATGTTCCCCCATGGAAAAAATAAAATAAAAAAACTTCTCTCAGCATAAAGTAAATTTATATATTATTTATGTCCAACATTCTGCTGCAAATCAGCCCCACTTAAAAAACACAATTTTGTTTAGCAGCAAAGTGAAAGCAAACTCCTGTTAGAAGAAATAGAGACCAAAAATAAAAAATACTTACAAGTTCCCCTTGAATCAAATCATATGCCTGCAGACACAAGCACAAAAAAAAAAAAAAAAAAAAAAAAACTCAGCCATGATTATATAAGAAAAAGGATAAATTAGATATTACATCTTCGCAGCGGAAAGAATTAGCATTTTGCCGTTAGTACTCAGAACTTTTCAGTTTTTTTATATTATCTGCCTACTCAACATATTAAACAAAATTCATGGTTGGCTTCCTCTGCAACCAAAAAACTATGATGAACTTCTTCTCTCCGTTTGCAGCGGCATAATGTAAACACACGATAGAAGCAAATAAAATAACAATAAACATCAAGCAATGAGCGTTTAGATTACCAAGATGCTAGAGGAGCTGGCCACATCTCCCTTCTGTCCTAGAGTATCGCTCACTAATGCCATTGATACGGTCCTTTCTTTAACTTCCCGTCTAGAGTGGCTAAGAGCAAGCCGAGACACGCCGAATTTGTCATTCTACATCAAAGAAATATCCATATATAGATAAATTGTGAGGTACAGAGTGTCAACGTAATTGATTACTAAAACTTCCACAACTTAATACGAAGCTCAACGACGAGATTAGCAACCTGAGATTTAGCAGTAATATAGCGGTTGCATTAAGCCAACCGAAGCTTAAACGCTATGATATATGCGAAATTTCCAATGCATAGAAACGCGAAAGAGAATGTTAAGAATGGGAGCAGAAATGAACCTCAGAGAACCGAAGAATCGGAGACGCGACCTTGGAATTCCTCCAAAAATTGTAGGGAAACCTCGCCGTCCTCTCCGAGGAGTTAACCACGCCGGCGGCGACGGTGCAGCACAGTGAAGAATTTGAGATCAGCGGCATCCGAAGAAAATGGAAAATGCAGATCGGAGAAAGAGTAAACGGAGAAGAAAAGGATGGGCGGAGGCACCGAGATATGCGGTGGAGTCGATGGCGGAGAAATAGAGAGAGGGGCGCGAGTATAGCCTCCTCTCTCTCGTTACAAGCAAACACGCGCTCTTTCTTTAAATATTAATATATCTATTCAGCATAAAGTAGTGGTAGCTGTGCGAATGTTTGGAATAGGATGGATACTTTTAACTGATTTTTTAAACAAAATTATGTCATGACTTTAAATAATAATTTTTATTTATTTATTTATTGTGTTTAATTAAAAAATACTAAATTTTAATTTTTATACATAAAATTATTATTACTAATATTATATTAAATATATATATATATAATAGATAATAAGATCATTAGTTTATTTTAAAATAAATATTATTTAAATTTAAAATATTAAAATAATCATAATGATTAATTTTAAAACGATATAAAATGCATTTTCAAGTTTATGAAATGTACTTCAAATTTATGAATACGGTTAGCAAGTAATTATGAATTATGTTACTTTAAATTTGTTTTTAAACACATAAATAATAAGAATATAGATTTAATTTAAATTAAAAAGTGAAAAATGAAAGTGACAAGCACCGTCCATTGCGAAATAAAGGTGAGCGCCCAGTTGTTGCGGTTGCAGGCTAGGACGAGGCCACGAGTCCACATCCTCTAACACGTGCTGTGGCTTTGGACCTTCATTCACACCCACACGTTCCAAGTAAAGGTAGTGTGTGTCCTCAAAATTAGATCCCCTCAAAATACTACTTTATTCTTTAATTATTTACTAATATTTTTGTTCTATTTATTCGATAAGGTAAAATTAGTGGTAGCTGTGCGCATGTTTGGAATTGGATGGGTGCTTTGAATTGATTTTGTTTTTAAATTTATGATTAAGCCAAAGTGATACATTATAACTATTGAGTTTAATTTAAAAATTAATTTTTATTATAAATTAAAAAATAATACTTTGAATTTAAATTTAAACAGATAAAATTTAAATTAAAAAAGAGAAAATGAAAATGACCTGCACTGTCATAGCAAAATACGGGCGAGCGCTCAACTTTTTGTCCCTTACTAATATTTTTGTTTTATTTTATTTGAGAAAGTAAAATTAGGTTATCTAAAAAGTCTCAAAAGAAAAAATAATAAACTTCTCGCAGACAATTTATTTTTTTAGAGAAAGAAAAGTATAAGACTAAGCCCAACTCTATTTTCTCTTTAAGGAATTTTAGTTTTTCTATTTGCACATCCATAATTTTTTAATTTGTATTTTAAAAAATAAACTCCTTTAAATTTTAAATTTTTTTTTTAGCTACTTTTTCTTCTTTCAGTTTTTTTATTTTTGTTATTTACTAATATTACTGTGACTTTTTTCCTTCTTAGTAGCACTTTTAGTAATAAACTAATCTTTTCATCGTCTTACTAATATTTTTAGGTAATACGTCAATTAAAATATTTTTTATATAAAATTTTATTGTATAATTTAAATTTTTATAAGAATAAGTTTTTTAAAAAACTAATTTTAAAAGTAAACTATTCAAAAATTAACATTAAGAAGTTTAATAGGTTTCAATAACTAAATGCAAATAATAGTAACATAAGATGCTAGCAAAAGTTTAATTTCATGAATTTTCAAACAAAACTTTCATATTTTAATTTGTGAAACTTAAAGCATGTTTCATTTCTATTTTAAAAATAATTTTCTGTTTTCAAAAATAAAATTTAATACATTATATTAGATTTTATTTTTAAAATAGAAATAAAATATATTCTTACTTTTGAAATGTTTATTTTCAGAATTAAATTTTCAAACATTAAACTTTCAACTCTTTACCATGGAAGTTGTAACACCTTAATTATTTTCAAATATTTTCCAATAAAATATTTTCACAAGTAAAAAGGGATAATAAAAAAAATCATTTCAAATGATTTCAAGTACAAAGTTTCAATAAAGTATTTCAAAATATAGGATGGGTTACAAATTTGAATAAAAATAAATGCTACAAGACCTATTTAGTCTAAGTCCTATAGCAGTATCATTCATTCCATTCATTGAGCTTGGTATTGATCGTCTTGGTCACTTGAAAAATAAATGTAAAGATGAGTCCTCTAGGCTATCACACGCACTAACACATAGACTCATCTTGCCTATTTCATAACAATCGATAATATAATGAAATCACACTTTAATGGCATTAATTTACTCTTTTTAACAACACACACGCATATTTACACATCAATTCATGCACAGGTGCGCTAACTGCACCTTCAATCATTTCACACACATGTGTGCTCACTGCACTTTAGTCACGCTCAATGTGGTACTATGATCACAGTTTTCTTGATGCTCTTAACCTCATGGATTTACTCAATTTCACACCATGAATGATCACCAATTAGCCCCTGCCTCACGGATACAACGTGTGCAGTCACGGGCCCCTTGGCAAAGGGATTGGTCAGAGGCTGAGTCAAGAGAATAGTGTGTGGCTTGTGATGCACTCACACTCACTATTGGTGTCACTACCATCTCTTTTCTCCAAGGTATTTTTACCGCCCCATCTTCCACACCCTAATATATTGCTATAACCATTCATAGTTTCAATCATTCCAACCATAATCACATTCACATTCATCATACCATTGACACATATTCACCCACATTCTCAATCATATCATCGCATTCATTCTCACACATGGATGTACACACACATTTAACTACATTATACTTAACACTCAATCTTCCACCATAACCCTATTACAATTTAAAGCACTTCATCATACCCATCACTCAAAATCTATCACATTATGATTAACACAAAATTTCCATTATGACACACATTTTCCTATGTTCTATTTCAATCACATTCCATTACATAACAATACAAATGAATTCCAACACAAGGAGATAGGGTAAAGTCTCCCCTTTACCTTAGAATGAAGACCCACAACAAAATCGATGGTAGAAGGGCTCCCCACATGGAATTCTTTTTCTATTGCCCTAATCAAAATTCATATGGAATTCATTCACACTAAAATTTTGGGTCTTAACAATAATAGATGGTTATTTACAATAGTTTATGACAACCCAATTGACCAACAAAGAGGGGAGATGTGGACTGAATTAAAGATTATTACAAAGGAGATCAATTGGCCTTGGTTGTTGGTGGAGGAATTGAATGATATTGCCAATCAAGATGAGAAGGTTGGAAGAGCTTGCATTAATCAATGTAAATGCAACGAATTTGTTCAAAATATTGACCATTGTAATCTATTGGACTTAGGTTTGATTAGACCTAAATTTACTTGGAAAGACCCTTAATTGATGGTATAAGGGTTTTTAAAAAGTTAGTAAGGGCTTTATGCAATGTTAGTTGGAGAACCATGTTTGATGAGACTTGTGTTGTTGTGGGTTCAAGAGTTAATTTCTTTGACCATTACCCTTTATGTGTCAGACTGAAGGCAACATGTCATATTTTTGCTAATAGAAACTTCAAGTTTGAAATTGCTTAGTTGACTAATGATTCTTGAGAAGATGTTGTTAAGGAAGTGTTGAATACCAACAAAGATTTCATAAAGACCTTAGTTGATTTAAAGAATGTTTTGAAGTCATGAAACATTAAATCTAGGAAGAAGTGCATTTTGGCTAGATTGACTGACATTAAGAAAATGTAGGTATAATACTCCTGGAATTAACCCTTTCTCATTTAGGTTAGAGTGTCAACTTCAAGAAGAGTTTACAAAAACTCTGCTTCAAGAGAAATTTCTTTGGCATTAGAAAGCTTGAACCCAATGGATTGTTCATGGGGATCATAACACGCACTTCTATCACTTCAAAACCATTATTAGAAGAAATTGTAACATAATTGTTATGTTGAAAAATGACAAAGGCAGATAGATTGAAGATGTAACACCCTCTTTTTCATTTATTTAATAAATTGATGAATTGTTTGGTATTATATAATGTTAGAATGTATTAGAATAATTTAAGGGTGTTTTGGTAGAAGTCTGGTGCAAGGGATCTTGCTCAGGTGAGCTAGATCTCGCTCAAGCGAGACTGATCTCGCTCAAGTGAGACTAAGCACTCAGAACCACACATTTTCAAGGCAATCTCGCCTAGGTGAGCGTGATCTTACTCAGGCGAGCAGTGATCTCATCCAAGCGAGCTTAGTCGCTCAGGCGAGGACTCACAAGAAAAATGTTCAACAGAGGCCACTATCTAGTGTTTTTGCTCAGGTGAGTTATACCTTGCTCAAGCGAGAATTTCATTACTCAAGCGAGAGCGCGCGAGGCAGAGGGATATTTAAGCGATTTCTAGGATAGAAATTTCATTTCATTTCTATCCTCACGTTCTCCTCTCATTTTCTCTAAACTCTCACTTCTTTCTCTCAAATAAACTCCTTCAAACTTCGATTATTCCTTGAATCCGAGCTTGGACGTTAAATCTATACAATTCCAAGTAAGTTTCTTTGGATTTAACTTTGTTTTCTCCGTTTGTTTTTCTTGTTTTTCATCTCTTAAGGATATCTCGTGATATCAGAAAAACTTCTATTGTTGAGCAAGAACCTTTATCAATCTCTCTCCATATACTCACCTCGAGGTAATGAGAGTTCTATTTTTCCATTTTATTAAAGTGTTTATTTTGTACTCATTGGAGCATTATTGCGTAAGGATTTTATGAAAATATATGTTTGAAGTGTAATAGCCAAAAATATGCGTGTTTGGTTGTTTGGCTTGAATGGTTATGTTGTATTCACATGGAATATAAGATGAGTATTCAATGTGGAATGTTATGAAAACATGCTGAGTGATTATATGAAATATGTATATGAGTATTTATGGTTGTGATAAAGTATGATGATGGCTCATAAGACTTAACAATTGAAACTATATTATAATGGTATGAGTGATGCATACTTAGTTCAGAAGTGCTTTACTAAGTATAATCTTATGAATAGAGAATGAAAGGATTCTCAATATACATATAAGTGTTGGATATGGAATGGATCTAGTGTGAATAATTACTGAGATACACTGAGGTATAGAGTCCAAAGACGATAGAAAATTTGGAAAAAATATAGGGTGATGAGCAACATTCGTGTTTGTGTACACACTCTTTCTAAAAGTGAATGCGGCACATGGTCTCACACTC